GCTGAGGGGTTTGGTTTCAGAACCAGAGGTTGCTTCTACTGTTCGTGGAAAGGTGTCAAGCAGTCATGATGAACGCTGTGCTAGAACGCCTGGCCTACACCTTTATGGAAGGGAATACTGTCAGCATAAAAATTGTATGCCCTCTCTGCAGTATGTGGCTCATAGCTGCTTCGAACATCATAAACAAACACATTTCTAAAACTCAATTTCTTTCCCCCTTGCTTATGTTGGTCATTTGTGCATTTTTCCTTACACCGAATAATAAATAAGCAGTTAAGTCCATTTCAAATGGAAATTCTCAGCAAAGCAATATTTGGGTAGTAACCACACTGCAGGACAACGGTCATTTACTGAAAAACAGTTGTTTTCACTGGAGCTACCCTCCCCCCACACACCCCCAAAAAAACCCTAGTCTCTTGGAGACGTTTATAAACAACTTTACAAAATGTTCGTTTTGGGCCCAACCATGTCCCTTTTGTCTTCGTATTTGTAGAGGGCATTCCGGGCAGAAGTTGCTTTTCCTTTCCCCTTTCTAATATCACCCTGGGTAACTGGAAGTCAGAATTTCTTCTGCAAATGCCTGAGCTTTAAGAACACAAACTTATTTAAGCCAATGCCATATTTGGAAGAGATCTGGGTCAAGAAAAATAATCAAAAGGAAAGCACATTCCTCTTCGGTCACGTGACTGGAGCAGAAGCACAGAAACCCATTTGCACACTCCCTCCCCCCGGCCACCTCCTTAGCATCAGCTGAAGCAGACTAGACACAGCTCTCATAGAAATGACAGGGCGCAGGTTTGGTGCGGGGGGGTGGATAGGGATGGGGAACTGGCTTGACACAGATTCAGATTCTGAGAGCCTCTTTTTACTGGCTTATTTGAAAAGGAGTCATGCGGTTTTGGGGAAAAAAAATGGAGCATTGAGGTACGCAGACCATAAATAGTATACTATACTATTTGTACAGACAACCCAACAGACAGCTCCAGCTACCCGTGCAGGGTCCAGTCCTCTAAATACGTACGTGCCAAACTTTAAGCACACGAATACTGCTAGTGTCACTTCTCACATACCTGTGAGCCTGAAGGATCAGTGCCCTGAACTCTCTCTCTTCCCAGAAACTCAGGTCTTTTTTTTCCCCACATCATCTCAGCAAGTTCTTGGATCCAGCCATGATCATTCATTTCATCTCAGTCTCCGATACAAAAGGTTAGTCAAAAGCAAGAGTTTTGTTTTAAAACAGAATTGTTGTTTCTGGAATTCTTTAGGGGAAACTGCTCCTTGAGCTAGTATCAATATTCCTTTTGTCATCCCCTCAACTGTTTATTTAATTAGCAGCTATATACACAATAAATATCCCACTACAATCAAAATATCAAGCTGTCATGGCAATGAGCAGGTGAGGTTCGAATAGCCAGGTCATGCTACATGTCTGTTATAGTCTGACAACAGCTTTGAGCTACGTTTACCTGAAAACACGATGAAACAAGGTGCAGGACAGCCAATTTAATGCTAGTGATGGAACATCGATGCATTTATTTCCCGTCTTGTATGGATTCTTCCTGAGCAACTTCCACGTTGTACTGACAATCTTCTGAATGCCATTCCCTTCATTTTACAGAGAAAATAAATTTTGCTCTTTTCTGGCTTTTAAGTTCCTTGACCAATAATTGTGCAATTACACACCTGGGCAGCACAAGTCAATTGTCAGTGTTTCCTATTGAATGTGCTCAGTGTGCAGTTTTCAAAATTATCACCTGTTAAATCAAAACCAAGCTCTCTGAATTACGAACCTGGGCACCTGCCATCACTGTCCCATTTCAGGCATTTTAGTGATGAAACACACCAGCTGTTGTGTAAAGCACATTTTAGCTAATTGAGTTAAATTAACACTAGGAGCATCTGAGATGGAAAGACTAGCTTGAGCTAACAAATGTATATACAATTTTGGGGGAAAGCAGAGAAATGTAAAGCAAGTGTTTTACTTTTAAGCTTCTGTAAAAGCTGCTCGGTGTGTAGCAACAGCACGGCCTAGACAATTCTGGATGCTACACTACATTGTCTTAGACCGTATTTGGCTTCATCATCATAATATGAGAGCATGGCACAAACAATCAATTTACCTTCAGAATCCCATGAGAAGTACGCAAGTATTCTGTGTATTTTATAGATGGGGAATGAATGGTGACACAGAGGTTACTGATTTGTCCTAAATCATTCAGAATGCTTGCAGCCAAGCAAGAAACAAAACCTAGATCATCCTCTGCCCCCAAATCCACTGACTTCACCAACAGACTTCTCTGAGGAAGTTTTTCATGCACACATTGCATAGAGGAACTCCTGGGAAATGCTGATGTTTCTGCTAGTTCTTTAATATCTGCCTGACTCCAAATATAGATATCATTTCATTGCCACATGACAGGACACATTCTGCGTCTCAGCAGTGTCATAGATTCTTAGTTTCCCCCCGCAAAAAAGACCAAATGTGTTTTGAGGTTTTCTGTCCTGTCTCTCAGCAGCTCAGAAGCATAATACTTAAAGATTGGTAAAAAATCCGCTTACTGGAGTGCTGAAAATGCAAAAAATATTCTTGTACAACTGACAGAATTATTAATTTTGAAATAACTGGATAACTCTTAACATTAACAACTACACATGAACAATGTATTTTGTTCTAGGACAATTGCAATGGGGCCTTGAAGCAGCAGAATACTAAGCCTCCCTTCAAAGAAGTTTTGCTTTTCTCTCTCCGGAGCACGCTTGTACTGGCTCCTGCTATTTTCTGTCTTAATTGCCTCCCTGACACCTATATCACCCTCCTCTCCCATACATGCAAAGGTGACACAAAGAACATCTCTACCCGTCAATCTTTCCATCCTCCATTTTGACCCCTTCCCCAAACTTCCACACTTTGGTGAATCTTGAGTGCCATGAGATTGTAAGATCTTTGGGGAACAGGCTTCGTACAAAATATATTCCCTGCAACCTACAGTAACATGAAAATATTCAGTCACTCTTTTCACATGTCCATCATGCTGCAGTGCTAATGAAGCTACAAACGCAGCTCAGAAGGAAGGCAAAGACAGTGCTTTTATACTGTTGTGCTGACAAGTTGCATGTAGAGGGGATGAGCTCCATAGAGTTGCGGTCCTGGGGCCCAGTGCTCATTTTACTGTTATACACCATCCTGATACATTTAAATAACTCCACTACTATGAAATCTTTGGTGCAGCAATTCTCAGCCAGGATGCCCTGGCACCCTGGGGTACATGGAGATCCTTTCAAGGGTAACAAAGGATGCCAAACAATGTTAGCACTGTTAGATGTGCAAACATGCTTCACAACATAAACCCAGAGATTAGGAATCAATAGTGTTAAAAAGATTCTGACCTGTTGTAGTCCTTCTGAGCTGTCTGCATCAGAAAAATTGCTCTACTATTTTTATGTAGTCATAAAATGAGTGAAAACTAAGAGCTGGCATTTTCTGAGGGATGCCTGGAGTCTAAACAGGTTGAAAATACTGTTTTGGTGGATGAAACCAGTCAGTGTTCATGACAAAGAGCCTACAAGCTTAGTGCTTAAGTGTGACTTTGGACCATCTTTTTGTAGGGCTAGAAAAATGGTAACCTGGTCCATGCTTGGGGCTCCAAAGTGCTACTGCAATGCAGTAATAGGGACAATCATAGGTAACGAGTAATGCATCATGTAGACCACTCATACAAGTAATCCAAAGGAGAGATTCAACTCAAATGCCTCTGGGGCATGGTCCTCTTTAACTAGGGGATAGGTCTCTTGTGAGCTAAGATCAAGTGTGCCCTATACCAGAAGCAAGTCATAAAACTCCCCATGCCAACTCTATTGTCCTGGCCAGCAGATAGAGCAAAGCTCTGCTATTTGTCTGTTTTAACATCTAGTGGAGGAGATGCAAGAAGTAAATGGTATGCTACAATGGGAGCAGGATACCTCCAGGACCAGCCTCCATGCTAATGGGAAAAGTATATTTTAGTGTGACCAAGACTGAACGGAGAGAAAATTTGTCATTTATTAAAAATATCTATTCATGGTACATGAATGAGTATGACTGAAGTTTCTGTAGGTAAGAACAGGATATAATGTACAGGAAAAAAAGAGGGAGTGAAAAGAGTTTCTTATGAAGCAAGACAGATGCAGAATTAAAAACGCAGTCCCATGCCAGGCTCTGTTGCTGTGTGCCCCTGCACTGGACCCAGGGTACAGGTAACATAAGGGGTGTTTTTACTCTTCCTTCATTCCCTTGCACCAGCACACACTCAAAATCACAACCTGACCCTGAAATGAGTGCATGCTCAAGTGTGACACAGCTGTACTCTACCTGGCACACCCTGGAATAGGCAGGAGGTATTTGGAGCACAGAGGTTCTATCACCAACCACAAAAGTGATGCCCAAGGACTACCCACTGCAACCCACAGGCTATCAGCAACATTTAATTACAGTAAAATGTAAATAAATGGATATTCATCCATGACCCAGCAACACCCGATTGAATACTACCTACCCAAGCATCAAAAGCAAAAGAAAAATATGGAAAGCTGGGAATATATTGTCTTGGGTAAATAACAGAATAAACAGGATATCTACTCCTCTTTTTTTAAGCATTGTTCCTTTTCCCCAACATATGGGACAGGATACAGGCCCAGGGAAGACCCAGACCTGTGAAGCTTAACAGGAAGGGTGGCTTTTACTGTGCAAGAACAATTACAAAGATTGAAAGATGAACTTCTCCTAGCTTGCTTGTCCCCCTCCTCACCTCAAAATTTCTTAATTCTTGCCTTGTTACCACTGTTTTTTTCTTTTATGCTTTCTTATGCCTTTCTTTTCTATTAATTTGGGTTTGCCTCATTTCTCTCTAACTTGCCCTCTACTTCAAGTTCCTGAACACATTCAGTGATGCTTCTTTTGCAGCAGATCCTCACTGACTGGTATCTGATCTGCTACATCTCATTATATTCCTTGTAGAGAATGATTCGAATATATACACAGGTAGTAGACATTTCTTACATTTAAAGGAATAGCTGCCATTGGTAGGTATAGAGTTAGTTGCAGCAGAAACAAGTGAAGAGACAAACGCATAGTGCAGAAAACTGATAAGTTATTCAGAAAGAGTGTTTCTGAAAAACACACATTGAAATTATTTTTATTTTTGGTGTAATTTAAAAAACATAGGAATATTGACATTGCTTTTAAAATCCCCTGGAAGTTAAAGACTGTACACTGTCTGATCTTTCTGATAACTCTAATGTGTGAATGTGGAAATAACAAACATCTCTGTGTGGCTTTGGTCAATAGATACCAACAAGAACATTTCAAACCAAGGCATTTTCTTAAAAAAAGAAGTCAAAGTCTGAACCTGAATGGGCACCACACCAAATGCATCAAAACCTGCCACAGCTTGAGAAATGTGGCAATTTACAGCACTGTGAGAAAGTCAGATAAAAATCAGCACAGGTGTCATGTGAAACATTCTCAAAAAACAATCTTAACAAAAGGGGGTCTGAACATTTAAAGGAAATGGAGTTTGAAAATTTGCTTCAGAGTTGATACTAACCCTTAAATATTTCCTTATGTGTCTTTCTTCTGACTCTGTTCAGGTTAATTGTTTTAACCATGCCAACTACTACATTCAGGGCATTTTATTCAGGGAGAGAGTGAAAATGTGCAGCTGTTATTTTTTGTATCTCAAAAATAAGGTTACTATGACACAAAAAAACAGACAAATTTATAGGATCTTAAACTGGAAATGATTATTTAAATTACTTGAATTCTGTAAATAGAAACTGCGAATTTATAACCATGATGCAGATTATATAATCTGTCTTCAAAGGGTTAATGCTTACGTACAGGCATTTTAAAACTTTATTTTCAACACTCAGATAAGAAAGAAAAAAAAAAAAATCGAAAGTCCTGTGGTTTTCATCCTCTTCAAAATTTGTCACGACTCAAAAATTCTAATGCCTCCTCTTACATTACAGATAAGAGGTGAAAAAAATTTAATCAAGATCTTTTGGATATTAAAAAAGAAAAATCACCATTATGAATGTTAAGAATTTCAGGATCAAAAGGAAGACGTAAACCAAGTTTTGACTATCCCAGCAAACTCAAACATTCCAATACAATAGTGGTCAACTTTGGAGGGTTGACCTACAAATACTATTTGCCAAAAGCAGCTTTCTAACAGCAATAACAACATTCCTGAAAATATCACATTAAATGCATATATCACTATAAAAAAGTGACAAACTTTATACTGCATTACAAAAGATGTTTCTCATTTTGCTGATTCTGTTTCTTTTTTTGTTTGCTTGGTTTTTGGGGGTTTTTTTTTACTAAATAGGTTTATAACTCAGGTTGATGAAAGGGGGAAAACACACATCCTAAAATCCTGACATTTAGAAAAAAGCTGAAACCACTTTTCCTACTACAAAACTTTTTTTTTTTTTTTTTTTTTTTTTTTTTTTACAAAAAACCCCAAAGAATTAATTATAATGACAAGGGAAGAGACAGAAAAATGAAAAAAAGAACCTTAGAATAAACTTATAATTGTTCTAGGACAGAATTCTCTACTCTGATCAGTACAGGACTCTAAATGCCAGTACTGCGAATTTTGCACAGGGAATGGAAGCTGAACAGGTTAGTGAGCGAATACAGATTAGGGAGGAAAATTCTGCCCTTATTTTGGTGTTGAATCACTAATTCCACTATAAGTTATACAGTGTGAACTGCCCCCCCCAGGATGTGAAGCTGTAAGTACTATTTATTAACTTCCAATGCAAAGCCCAAATCTGCTTAATTTACATTACACTAGAGTCTGTCAGGAAAATTAAAATCCGTTTTATTCAGCATTTTAAAGTGAAATGTATATAAACTACACTTTTAAATTAAATCATACCCTTCCAAAATTGGTCTGCTTTAAGATTTCTAACCTTAGCGGATAGAATGAAGATGTCTCAGCAAATATTGATTTTGTGTTAAAAAATGTCCACAAGACAAAATAAAAAATTCTTAATTTACAAGAAGCAGTGTAAACAGCAAAAACAAGAGAAGCCACGAAGTTTCACACACCAGCCACTGGCAGATGGTTGCTCCAAATATTTATAAAACTTTGTATCTTCCTTTGTTGGTTGGTTGGTATGAATTTTGCTGCAATGAAAGAGGAAAAAGAAGTCAATCACAATTGCTTGCCAAAACAGATGAATAACTGTTTGTAAAAACTGCTCAGCGATAAGTGGATATTAAAAATAATTACAGAGTTGCTCAGTAGCGACACACTCTTTGCAATTTGCAAGGATTTTTTATGTAGATTTCAACAATTTGAAAAATGGAGCAAAATTAGTTCCAAAAACAGACAGCAAGAGCAACATAACCTCCAGACTGTTGAGCTGAAAGGCCACTGGCAGGTACGTTGAAGAGAAAGGCAGAGCCGCTGGCTGCACAATTAAGTTTCCTACAATATTACTGGCAATTGCTCCCCCCACCCCCAACAAGGCTTTTACTACTGAAGGTCTCAGAATTCCATTTCTCATGATAATTTCAATTTCCTTTGAAAACAGGAAGCAGGATACATTGAACACAGAAGGCTACTGCACCATGGCGTACTGTCCACAGCAAGGTAAAAAAAGAAAAACAAACCATGACACAAATGGTACTAAATACCAGGAAGGTTAAAAACCAATCTGTTAAAATGCAGCTCTGCCTTATGGAGCCAGAGACAAGAAATGAATAGGAAACTGACTCTTTCAGGAGTCTGAGATCACAAAATTTAGTCAGTGTCCTGTCTCCATCTGCTGGCTGTTCATAATACCCATAACATGTGGAGAAATGTATTTTCCTTGCTGTTCACTGCTATACCATTTTCTACACTTTCAGGTACATAGTCCCAGATATTAACAGCGACTTATCTTGTAGGTCAGGTTTAAACATTCCTGCAAATCTTAACAAAGCCATACGTGCTCTTTTGCAATATAATGCATTTCACTTACTAATCTGATTAGTTCTTCCTTTATAAGTCTCGTGATTTCAGCCTTTGCTTTCTGCACAGCCAGCTCATTGGCACCTGGAGAGCAGAAAACAAATGTTAGAATCTCTTCTATATACCATGTCTAAGGAGGAAATGTTGCAGGTTTACTGTCAAGGCAACAGAAATATTTCAATGGTTTGCTGTTGAACTATAATAAACGTAGACTACCAGCACTGCTTTATTTTTATTTTTTTTTAAAGAGTAACCTACTTAAAATTGTTAATCCCTGTTTACAGCATTCAGTAACATCCTGGAACAAGTTTCTTTACAGACAAACTAACATTAGCAACGGAGCATGTCAAAATAACCATGAGATTCACTGGGTTAGGCACAATAGATTTGATCAGTTATATGACCCCAGCCGGAAACTGCAGGGGAACAGCACCCTATTTTCTTTTTTCCATATCGACTCAAACAAGATGTTTATATCTGTCCTCATTTTTAGTACCAAATGAATTACTGTTACTCTCTTTCAAATACTTTCATACAGGGCCATATAAGTCTCTTCATTATGGACAGAGACATAGGACCGATGTTCCTACAACTCCAGGAGCCATTTGGCAACAAGTATCGAGACAAATGAGTGGGTACCCACGCTTACTCCCAAGATAACTCAAGAATATCTGGGAGTGAAGATCCAAAAATGTATGCCACAAAAAAATAAAATGCCTACCTGTAGCACAAGGAAAACATCTCTAATTGAAAAATACCCATAATACTTACTCTCTATAGCCAAATAAATTTTTCGTTCGCCTTCTTTAGGCTCTTTGCCTGGAGGGAAATATGTTCCTCTGATTGTAATAGCAGCTTCAGAATATTCACTGATTCTCTGCAGAGCTTCCTTGGATGTAACTTTCCACCTGGCAGTCTGCACAAGAAAGATTTGGAGAAAGATATTTGCACTTCAGCAACAACATTATCTGGTGAGATCCACTATTTAACAGAAATGTCTTAAGTGGAATTTTGATTTCAAAAATGAGGCAATTGCCCAGTTTCAAAAGAACGTATGCAATAAAATCCATGTTACCACTGCCATCACTTATGTCAGGGAAAACAAAAAGGGAGGAAAAAAGGATGGATCTGCAGGACCACTGGAGGGAGAGCTCTCAAGGTTCTCCATTTTGCTTCTTGGGAAGTCAAAAAAGTAATAATTGTTCTTGTTATGCTTTTACCCAGCAGTACTCTGCCAAGAATACCATTTACCAAGCCTTTCATGGGAATAGACTTCCAGGACAAGTTTATTCTGTTAATTCTCATTATCAGCATTATGTTTTTCAGAAAGCTCTTTAGGGGTGCAAGTCTTTGTTGAATGCAATTCTTCTAAGAAACAAAATTAAATGCTATTATAAACATCCATCTCTGCATGCCTACTTTTAAAAGCTCAGATACTAATGTGTGGAAAGAGATAATGAGATTTCAGTAGAAAATATCAATGTATAATTTTTTTTTCAGAGACAAACTGCATTGTCTTGTATATCAACTAGTTGTAACTATATCAACTACATTCAGTGTTGAAAGGCAGGAACAGGTTGTATCTCATACTTATTTATATGTATGTGACTTGACTCCTATCAGGAAGACAATGAGTTGCCCCCTGGGGAGTTTTTCAGTTTTGTTAGGTTGAGCAATGGCACTGTCCCTTTGTCGGAGGCATAAGGGGCACTGAGGCACTTCATTCCCACTGGAAGGGGTGGGTGGTATAGCTGGTGCCCCTGAAATTATGAGATGAATAGGTGAGTGAACCAAACAAAAAGAAGGCCAGAAGAGACGCTGGGGTAAAATAAACTATATCTTTTTTTCTAGCTTTATATGCTAATAACTTCCTTGGGAAGCATTTTGGAATGAATCTCAAGCACTGTGCATCGCTGAACTGAGGAACAAAGCCAATAGGTAGATGGTACTTATTACCACAGTTACATAATGTCAAGAGGATGTGGCAGAGGAAGATCTGACAGGCCCAGAAATCCCTTCTATTGCAAGATCACATTATAAATCTGCACAGAGTACCAACTAAAACACTGTGTTCAGTGACAGTTATTAAAATATGATTCAACAAAAATCAGTTACTTGCCTGTGGGAAGTCATTGATCTCCAGTTCCTCCTCATATCTCTTAAAGGATTCATTTTGTCCTCCCTCCTGTTTCTCTTCCTCCTGTTTCTCTATAGGTACATAATTGAGCTTAGCATTGATCTTTTCAGCCAGTTGCTCTGCAATGGTTTTGGCAGATACAGTAGGAGCCTGAATTGTGCCTCCTCTCAAGATAGCGTTTGTTGCCTGCTGCATCACATCCTGTAGTAAAAGAAGTCTATATTCAAAATGAGGTAGCCAGAGGCAGCAGCACCCTAAAAACCTGGCCGTTTTAGAACCAGAGTTGCTTTAGAAAGTTTCTACACACATCAATATGGACAATCTGAAAACCTTCCTTTCCTTTCCCTCCTCTCTCAGCAAGAACAGAAAGCCTTGTTTCATCCCAAAATGCCAAGGATAATATTGGCTATAATCCCTTCCCTATCCCTGCATCCCCACACTCACTCCTTGTCCAAGTACCAAGCCAAACAAGGATTCCATCCTTCCCCATGATGGATAAAAAACCCCAATGGTACTGCTCAGTCGAGCTGGCTTAACCTTGGAATTATAACTCTGTGAGAAATTATAAGATCCTGAATTGGAATTTCTGGCAGAAAGGAAATTTTAACAAGTGTTTAGGAAACATGAAAACACTTCAGTTCAGTTTTTCTGACATGAACCAGTCTGGCCATCTGCCTCAGCTGCTGGCAACTTCCCTGCCACACAGGGGGGGTAACGAGAATCCCCAGTTCTCAAGTTAGGGCTCCCAGGCTCTCCGCCACACGGCCAGGAGCCAGGCATCCCAGAAAGCCCCTATTTGAGCTAGAACTCCCAGGGTTGCCAAGCTCTCAACTCTGCAGCAGCCCCAAGACTGTTGCATGGTAATGCAAGCCCAGAACCACTGAGATTGGTAATTCAGACTCGCCAGCAGCCCGCCAGGTAAACAGGCAGGAAATGGCTGTTCATGGAACTTGTTAAGATTTCTTCAAAATATTTTGGTTTGAAGGAATTCACATTTTCCAACGAACCAAAAATCATTTGTTTGGAAAACTCCCACCCAGTTCTACAGCACTGACACAGCCCAGCCAGTCAGCCCCCAGGCTGTAGTGGTGCATGAGATTCTTCCATCCTAAGTGCAGGTCTTTGCACTTGTCCTTGTTGAAGCTCATGATATTTCTTTTGGTCCAATCCTCCAATTTGTCTAGGTCACTCCAAATCCTAGCCCTACCCTCCAGTGTATCTACTACTCCCCGTGGCTTGGTGTCACCTTCAAATATAACCCATCGTTCTCTCAAAATGTTGTTAAACTACACCCCCATTTTTCACTTTAATTTAAACAGCATAACCTCCAATAATATATTATACATTTCAGCCAGAAAGGACATTCTGCTACTGTGATAAAATTAGCAAGTTCTGTAGTCATGGTTGGTGAAATCAGACATAATTAATGCCTGTGTGTCAGGCAGATGAAGAGCTCCCTGCTGTTATACTAATGCATTTTGTCACGCCAAAAAATTACAAATCTAGTAGTCAAAATAATAATATAATTTCCCACCCCCACTGAGTTAGCCCTATTTGGAGGATACAGACCAATCACAACAGCATCATGTGTCAGAACTAAAGAAATCAACCTGTTAACATAGCTGTAAAACAAAATTAAATACATTATATTAAACATTTATTAATAGCTGCATGATAGAGAGCATGACCTTGAAGTGGAAAGGGACAAACACTTGTGCCTCTGCACCAAGATTCTTCTGGGCATTGATTCTCAATGCCAATCTTTTGGCGATTTCCAGTTTTTCTGCGTTACCAGCTGTGGGAGTAGGAGCATTAGATGTTCCTGGTGCTGCCATATCTTTCACTCTCTTCTTTGAATTGAACATGCTCTCAATTTGTTCATCAATCTAAAGGAAAGGACAACATCAGTACCACCGTTATGCTGTTCTTATCAACATTGTGAAAGGAAACACTAGGTGCAACTGCTTTATTAATTTTTTTTATTTGGCAACCAATGAATGCTACAGTGCCAGTCAAGAACTATGGCAGAACAAAGAGAAAGGGTCTTGTAGTCAGAAATAGGACTGGGGATCAGAAGACTGGAGTTCTAATTCAGTTTGCACTACAAGTTACTGTGGGACCCTGAGTAAGGTGCGCACACTATCCTCCAGTTTCACATTGAACTCTGAGCTCACTGCATGAAAAGTGCTACTTCAGGGCAAACTAAAACAGCAAGGTCCCTTAGCAATCTCACACTCCAGACTGGGGAAAAGGCATTTGTATCGTGAAAACTACACAACTGAGGTGTGAGGAAAGATTCCAGCAGGAGTTCTTCAACTGCTCTTTTATCAGCAGTCAATGGAATAACTTTCCAGCTCACTGAAAAAGGTATCAAACATTAAGTAATAGCATCTGATATGGATTTAGACAAGGAGAAAGCTGCCAGGTGCTTCTTTAAAGCCCTGTAACTACAAGCTTTTTGTGAATTAGGTAAACAATCACTCCATTTGGTACAAGACTAATTACTGTACAAGTATGAAAAATATTTGAGCCTTCTGCATGAAATACTATCATCCATTCTTAATCTACTTATAAAATACCAATAAGTCACAAGTGGAAGATTTTCAGTTCCCCATGAGAGAGATTTTATGAATTAAAGAAAGCACAGAGCAACACACAAGATGTATTTAGTAAACTAGAGTACAATATAACAAAAAAAATATTTTGTAATTTGCTACTGTACTGAATTTGTGCTATTAGGTGTTATCTGAACAGACTAAAATCCCTTATAATGTAAATTACTGGCTTATTTGTACTTACATCAACAGCTGTATCTTCATCATCTGAATCCTGCAAGCCAAGAGCAGCTTTTTGTAGTTTCTTGCGTTCATTAGCCAAAGCCTGTTCTGTTTCATCGAACTTAAATCCTTTGCCAGAGAAGCCACTACTCTTTTTAATAATCTTTCCTTCCTACAAAGCAAGAATAATTATTTTTCAAAAGAGATTCAAACACAAAATGTTAAAAGACACTTCCAGCTGGAGTAAAATACAGACTATTCTTGATTATTATTACTATTGATTTACTGTTACTATTGACTGTAAATGGTTATGTATTTAACAAAGGTAAAAATTAGGGTACTTAGAACTTCTTCCAAACCATGAAACAAGTAAGTTATAACAAAAAGCTTACACACAATTTTGTATCAATTCCATAAAAACAAGTAAGCCATTTTGGGTTTTGAGTGAAGAAGTAAAATGCCCCTTGAGGCGAAGAGAAATATCTGTTAGCACACGAGAAACTCTTCACACTAAATGTTTGGGGCATGTGCCCAGCAAGGTGGTGTTAACTTTTTAGATCAGAGTATCAAACTCACCTCTTACCCTGGACTGGATATGAACTACATGGCTCCCTGTAGGCACATCCAGCCCAGGGCATGTGGTTGCAGTAGCAGTTCCAGCATAAAACAAGCAGCCACAGTGGCAGCTCCGGCATGGGGCATGCAGTGGCAGCAGCTCTAGCATGGAGTGGTGGCAGGGCTGGCAGCTGAGATGGTAGGGCTGCGGCAGCAGCAACGGGAGAAGTGCTTGAATAGTGACCAAGGCTGCATCAGCCCTCACTCACTGCCCTGCCAATGATCACCACATTCACTGGGGCCTGCAGGCCCTGGATTCTGCAGCAGGCCACTTGCTTTAGCCATGCCCAGTTTCCAGTTGGCCACCAGCAGGTGGGCTAGACAGAGCACCTTCATGGGCTGGATCTGGCCCGTGGGCCACATCTTTGGCACCTCCATTTTAGACAATATATAAATACTACAAGAGACTTCACTGTCTTTTATATGAACCCTGATAACATCAGGTCTCAAGGCAGGCTCAGAAGTTCCTCTTCCACCTACACAGCCAGTTACCACAGTTAAATTCCCAAGAACAATCTAATTGCTTTCCAGGAGTGTTTTCAGAGGGTCAGTGAAACAACTCACATGCACAACGTTATTTGCGTGCAGAATTTGTACCCAAATGTGTAAGCAACACAACCATAAACACCACACACCAAAAACAAAAGATTACTTACAGCTTTCTGCTGATCTTTGAAGTCACCCCAGAGCTTCTCCAGTTCATCAGGGACTGGATTTCTCCAGTTCACCAGGAACTGGATTCCCTGACAATTCCAAAGCCTTAATGATATCACCAGCATACCGTGCTTGATCTTCAGTAATAAAAGTGTATGCAAATCCCTATTAAACATTAATACACAACTGTTAACCTAGTAATTGTTAAACACATTTAATTTTTTCATTGATCTTAGCAAGGGTACTGCATTGGAAAACTTTTTTTTTTTTTTTTTTAAATAGAAATGGAGACTATAAATAAATGCAGTTAACATGGCAACTGACAAACTCACTGTAAAATTAAAAGCTTTTCATTTAGGTCTGGCTCTGGTGGTGAGTTTGAAACGAAGCCACTCATGCTCATTTCTAGCACAAACAGCAAAAGAGCCAAATTCATAGAGAAAGTCTTACTCCAGAAAAGCGTTATCTACATTCCACAGAGATGCAATGCAAAACAGGAAGCCGTGTTCTGAAATTTCCTCGTTTCCCTAAAAAGCACCTCCCTCTTCTTATCAAAGACAGATAAAATCTTTTAACTTCCCATTCCCATTTCAATTACAACATTAATCAACATACAAGGCAGGGTTATCAATGAATTAAAAATAAAAACCACTTTTTACGAAAAAAAATTACTTTTACATACTTTATTGCCGGCTCGTCCAGTTCGGCCTGCTCTGTGCACATAATCCTCATAATGGTTGGGACAACTGTAATTGACTACCAGCATCAGCTGCTTTACATCCAGGCCTCTTGCTGCTACTGATGTGGCCACAAGAAGTTTGCACGCTCCATTCTTAAAATCATTAATTATGCTGTCTCTGTCATACTGATCAATTCCTGCAAGGAAGCAACACAACACCATACATTAAAGTTTTTATTTACTTCTATGTATGTACTGTCTTGGTTTTCAATAATAAAAAAATATTTCAACTAAGCTGAAAGAATGCCTGGTTTTGTTCAGGAGGTCTCAGCAGAAGAGTAGTTCTCTACAAAGACTGTCCCACTCAACTCCTCCAAACATTCTTTTAAAGAAAACGATCTCAATAAGCAAGTTAATCTGACCTGTTATAACTGAATTTTTCTGAAGGCTTTGCCCACTTTGCAAGCACACCAAAAAGCGCAGGCCATTTTTCATTAAGACCTGGATTTTTCCTATGTCCTTGGCTAAATTTTCCCTGGCATTGTTACCGAAGTTAGAGAATGTGATATGCATGGGCTGACTGCTGTATACCAACAGCACTCTACATAGTTTTTAAAACACTTGGGGATGGCAGGTGTTTGAATGAGAGATTTTTCTGCTTTACTTTTTAAATAACTACTTCATGACAGAAGGGAAACAACAGCTACTAGCTTCTCAAAAGCTACAAAAATGGGGTTTTTTGCCTGCCCTCCAGGCTCTGCAATAGCAATTAGCTAATAATATTCCCAGAGATGTATTACTCTCAGTTCATAACCGTGTTGCATAAAGTGATATTTTGGCACACGATGGTGCTTTATAAGTTAACGTAATAAAGAAAAATGCCAAGTCAGTTGCACTTCCACTCAAAATGTGAAAAAAGTTACATGAACTGCCAAATGAAAAGCCAAAGTGCTTAGGAGAGGAAATATTCTAAATGTCTACAGTGACATTATACAGAAACATATAAAAACACTTTTCTTTTTAATTATTTTACCCCATTAATCCAGTTTAAAGTAATATATGTCCTTAAGACTGCACATTACCTCCATGAAGTGACATGCAGGGATAAGAAGCTCTCATTAAATCTTTCAACAACCCATCAGCATGTTCCTGTTTATCAACAAATATGATAACAGATCCTTTCTCCTGATAATGTCCCAGCAGCTCAAGTAACTTCAAGAATTTGTTCTCTTCTTCTATAACAATCTAAAAAAAGCAAAACAGAAAAACAAAAGTAGAAAGAACAGAAATTACATCTTCAAACAATAGATATTACAAAACTCTGAAGATGCTAACAACATAAACTTCACAACATCTGTCTTTGATTAGACTTTGATTAGCTTTTGAGTTTCAACTGAGCCAGGAGAAGGAGAGAGAGAGAAATTCTTCAGGCCATATGCAGAGACAGAAATGGAAGTGCTAAAGCTGACAGTAAGGTAACCTATACGAAGCAGTAAAAAAACTAAATGTATTACTATCTGCAAATGAAGGGGCTTTTTTGAGTGTTTTAGTGACTACTAATATACCCAATATGTTTGCACTGAAGAGGCAATATTCAAATGAAAAGTGGCCACAGAAAAAAAAATTCTCCGGACCAGCACAGCAACATAGGCATTAGGCAAGCCAAAGTGACTCCAAAATATAAGTGTACAATTATACATTGAACTGCATTGCAATGATATTGCAATATGCTTGTTCCCACATTCAGCGCTCTGCAGCCATCAACTAGGTTAGGGTAATTCACTTTTATTTCAGTATTCTGTCATAATTTTTTATAGACATAAGCGCAAAAAAAGGCAACAATTACAAACATGTCTTTTTTTCCTATAACCCACAACTGTATCTAAAAGAAACTACAAGGATCAAAACGACAAACTACAAAATAGCAGATCACCAGAGTGCTTGAAAATTTGAATGAACAATGGCACAAATCTGCCAATTCAAACAGACTAAACATGCACAATGTAAGACCTGCATTTGGAATATATTTTCAAGCATCACTCATTACAATGAGAATTTCTGGTTCCCATTAGACAAACAACTTTGCAGAAAAACAATATGGCAGCTCAAAAATGCCACTTAACTGCAAATGACTACTTTAAAAATACCTGTCATATTTTACTCACAGAGAGGGTTGCATGTCTATGAGAACTTTCCTACTGCTGTGTTAAACCAATTAGGTTGTGCTGTCTTTAAAAGCACTAGCAAACATTTCTGGAAGTCTCCTCTCTCTCTGCATCTCCCAAAACATTCTTTATATCAAACTAGAAAATTGTCTCCTTGCCATAGAGGCTGGAAGGGCCTCACCAGGGATTCTAAAGGAATTAATGCCATTCATGCAAGGAAAACAAACTAAACTGACATGATAGGACTAGACTTAATAAAAATTGCTGATTTTCTCCATCGATTCCAACACATACAAATGAAATATAAGCTACTGTTTCTCCATGTCAATGTTTCATTAAATATTCTTCCAGAAATGCTTTCTTGCCACAGAAACAAGATGCAATTATGCAATACTCACTACATGTTGCTCCACATCAGAACAGACAACACTTCTTCCCCCAACTTGAACCTCAATAGGTTTATTCAGAATTCGACGAGCTAAAGCCTCCATGGCTCTGGGGAAAGTGGCAGAGAACATGACCGTCTGACGATCAGGCCTGATGTTGTCTACAATGCGCATGACCTGGTTTAACAGTAAAATCCTGATTAATGTTGAAGTGCTCTAGCAACAAACTTTACATACATACATACTCACATAAACCCCGTCATTTTTAAAGCTAAGAAATAATTGCATTCCACAAAATAAACAGCTTTCTGCGAGTTACATCCTCTGGAGACCACGAGCCATCGCTGCCAGAGAAGCAACATTTGGTGGGCTCAGTTGGAACATCACAAACAAAACAGTGCTGGAATTTTGTGCTGATCCTTTAAGGGGTACAACAGAAACCTTCTAGTTGGGAGAAAAAGAAAAAAAACCTTCCCAATTTTGAGAGAGAAAAAAAGCCTCGGGATAATCTAGGAAGTCCTGAGGCCCCAAACTAAACCCTATGTCACAGGAAAACCATCCCTCCCCTCCTCACCATTACTCTCACCACTTAAAATCCATTGTGCCATTCGTTACCTGTGGTTCAAAACCCATGTCAAACATTCTGTCCGCTTCATCAAGTACAACGTATGTAACCCTGCGAAGGTTTGTCACCCGTCCTATGAAAAGGAGAGGGGAAAAAACATGGGGAAACAAAATCAAACTGAAATTTGTTTTCCCCTCAGGAGTAATTTTAAGTAAAGTGATAAGTATTCTGACTAGCTTCTAACCAACGTATAAAAGTTAAATAGCGTTTTAATTTTTATTTTTAATATCACTAAAAGTGAATTTTAAACTTCTTGTTCTAATGGCATTATATATATCTAGATATATATATATATATATATATTCTGAAAAAATGCGTAAGTATGCACAAGGCCCTTTATTTTGTCAAACTCTTCTCTTGCATACCATCAAAGGGCCAGAAGAACCTGTAAAATTCAGAAAACAGCCCTCGCCAAAACACATCATAAAACTAAGACTGAGATGAAGCAACGAGCCACATCAGCCATAATCTGACAGCGCCACCTAGAAAAAAACATATTAGAGATTACAGCGCATGTGTGGAAGGCAAAGTTCAGTGCTAACTGATGCAGCCTCAGAAAAAAAGATTATTTTTATATTATAACATATAATGCCTTCTTGGCATTCAGAAATAATGATTTTTAGGTATACATAACTATTTCTAACAAACTGCTAATATTATGCCTAATACAGTATAAGCAACATTTTTCAACCTGTCTAGCAAATCCATTGACTTAAAAGACCACAGTCTTTGGGACAAGTAGAAGCAAGATGAACAGTTGTAATCTTATACACACAGCTCATTTTGGAGCAGTCTTGCATAAACAAGTCAAAACCCTTCCCAAACAAGTACACGGGCACCTTTTAACAAGTATACATAAAATACAAAGGGATTTTTCACAAATGCAATTAAAGCAAGGTTTTTCTAAAAAGCACTGACACAGGATTATGTCAGATTTCAAGCAATAATGTAGTGACACTGTTGAGAGTTCTCAAATTGGAATTATGATTTTCATACTCCAGAAACATTCTTTATTCAAACTGGCAGCTTAATCAAACTATGCGAATATTTGTTATCTTAAATTAAGCAAGATTATAACTGCCTTGAATCCTCAAACTATTCTTTTTTAAGGAGTAATACAGAATTTGTAGATGTTGAATTCACACTAAATTACCAAAATAAACTTTTCTAAAAATCTACATCTATACTTAATGTTAATATTTGCATCCCCAAATAATAACTCTGCAAAATTACTTGGGAACAGCATTAATGTACCTACCTTTGACGGATTAAGTCTTGGAAGCCCAGTTCTATAAGTCTTGAAGGTACTTTTTCCACAGAAGTTAAATAATGTCAACAGTTTAGTAGAGGTTTTGATGTGGAATATTTTAATAATCAAACTTTGTCTAACAAGCATGCAATGATTATGCTAAAACAAAACCTCTTAAAGCTGTGGTATCCCAGCATATCCTACCTACATATTCAACTGAGGAAGACAGTAGTTTTAATTACAGCTAAAATGATATTCAGTAATTATTTTTGGTTTTTTATCAAGAGATAAGGGTGGAGACTTCTATTGGGCAAGCCCCTTTTTAGGCAAAAGTCAGCTGTTAAATTATGCTAATATTAATTAGCATTGTGGAGGAATTACGTCAAAATAAGTGAAATTTAGGTAAATCTCCCTTTACCTAAATGACCCCCAATTTGGGGCAGATAGTTGTATATCTATAGTGCACAAAAATCCTTACAAAAATTTCAAACATACTACAATTACTGTTTTTCAAAATCAGCTAATGAGTAAAGAGAGTCATTTGTACTGCTGTACTGTCTGACATGGTAAAATGAATAACACAGCTTCAAGAAATATAAATAAATTCCAGAAGACCATTTAATCAAACCATATGATCTCTTGAATTTCTTTATTTGCATTAAACAAATATATTTTAAAATGTGCAAAGGAAAAAGATTTCTACTCACCATTGTTAGCTGCTAACATGTCAATCATACGTCCAGGTGTGCAAACAATAATTTCAGCACCTCGTTTCAGTTCTGCTATCTGATTTTAAAAACACAGTAAATTTAATTTAACAAGCCATCTGAGTTACTTTTAGTCTGTGACCCTATAAATAAGACAGTGAATGATACATGCAATCTTTTCAGTCACCATGATTAACTATTCATGCAGCACTACAATAGCCCACTAATGGTTTTATGTATGTGTCATTTATTTAAAGTTTTTACTTGGAAATTTCTTTAACTTCTTACCAGAAGTAGATCCATAGTTGCTACAAAAGCGTATGATAGACATATGAATCCTACACACAACAAGTACCCATCTATGCTATTTTACGTAGGGACCTTAGAAACTCTACAGCAAGGATATCAAACATATGACCTGTGGGCCGGATCTAGCTCATGGTTCACTGGACCAGCACCAGCCCCACATGCTGCATGTGATGTATGGGACAAATCTGGTGCTGCGTGTGCTGCAGGCAGCACAGGGGGGTCAGCAGTTCAGGGTGCCACATGCAACCCACCAAATGCTGCAAGTATTGCCAGGTCCTGTTTCCATGGCAAAAAATTGGCTTGAAAATTAAACTATCAAGCTTTACAAAAATGCTTGCTAAGGACAACAAAAACTAAGAGAATCGGGGGGGGGGGGGGGGGGGGCTTACGCG